CCCGGGGCTGTGTCCTCTGCAGTACCTGCCGGTGAATCCGGCTCATTAGCCCCATGACCTGCACCATCACTGTCAACCGCCAACGCATCTTCATCCACGAATGCCGCTGGATCGGCGTCAGCGCCGGCGTCAGCACTACTGCCACGCTCGGATCTGCTGATACGATACCGTGCTGGTAAAACCGGATCCGGCGGTGGTGGTGCAGCACCTTGGGCGGTGCAGGGCATGCGCCGCCAAGCCAGGGTACGCGCATGACGCGGTACGGCAGCAGTGCACATGATGTCAGCACGTAGGATATCAACGTTGGGGATGTCCACCCAAGCATGAAGCGCCGACTGGTCTTCAGAACACTGCTCCGAGCAGACGGCACACACCCGTGAAGGCATGCGCCGACGCAGTGCAGCGGCCATGCTGCTAGCAAGCTGCAGGTGTGTTTCGTATGGTACCTGTCGCTCCACCGGAAGTTGACCACCGGACAAATCCTGCACGCGCCCTTCTGGAATCGCCTTCAGGAAATCAGGCAGTGCAGGGTGGTGGCCCTCGTGCAAGCAGGGAAACCGCATGAGGTCCCGCAAACGCTCAAGCAAGCTGGCCTGCGGAAGCTGCATTGCATGCACCTGATCACGGGCCTGTGCGTGTGCAGCGGTGTTACGCTGCTGTTCTGCAGCCCTGCGCTCCGGATTTTGGCGGCGCAGTTGCTCCGCAGCCCTGCGCTCCGGATTTTGGCGGCGCAGTTGCTCTGCAGCCCTGTAGTCCGGGTCTTGACGGGCAACAGCTCGTGCAGCGGTGTCCCGTTGTTGTTCAGCAGCCCTGCGCCCCGGATCCAGACGAGCACTCCGCATCCGTGCTGCATCTGCACTGAGGTGCGTGTTCGACGCACTTGTCCCTCTAAAATGAAACCCGCCGGCCAGTGTACCCAGGCGCTCACGACTGCGAGTCCCAGTCCGCTGGGGTGAATCATTTGGTCGATCCACCATAACTCATGGAAGCCGTTTCCAGTCGTAATACCACGTGTGGAAATAAGTAATCCCGGTGTGATATATATGATATATATGCCCTATAATCCTACAGTAGCGAGCCCACGCCTGTAAAGAGCCCAGCTTCGCGAAAGGCCGTGCAGCTTACGTTGGCGGTGCCATCGACTAGTTTACGTCCGCCGGCTTTCGTGTGTTTCAGTGCTGAGCTGTAGTACCGTACATGAAGAGAAATAAAGCAAAAGCGTATGTCTGCGATGCAATCCTACTGAAGCAAGCCGACGGCCGTGAACAAGTGAGTTTCATAAGAGGCCGTACAGTTTACGCGGACAACGTTGGACAACCGCAGATGCGCACTTCGGTGCGGTCCTCATCCATCGCTGAATTGCGCGTTGAACTCTGCGTCGAATTGCATATTTAATTGTGTGGTTCGGTGCGCGTTGAATTGCGCGTTCAATTGTATGGTTCGGTGCGCATTGAATTGCGCATTTCGGTGCGCGTTGAATTGCGCATTTCGGTGCGTGCTAAATTGCGCGTTGAATTGCGTGTTATATTCCGTGCTTTGATGCGCGTTGAATCACGGTTCGGTGTGTGTTGAATTGCGCATTGAATTGCGCGGTTCGGTGCGCGTTGAATCGCGCGGCGATTTGTGTGTTGAATAGAACGGCGCGGCGCGGTGCTGCAGTGCGGCGCGGCGCGGTGCGGTGCGGTGCTGTGCGACCATCAACGTGCAGCACTCCCGAACATAACAAAATACGCGGGGACACCGGGATCGAACCGGCGTCCTCAGCTCCCACTCGGCGCCGGACCTAGCACGCATATCGATGCGAAACACGCCGATGCTCGGGAGCATGTTATGCGGCCCAAGGTGCAGTGCGGTGCAGTGCGGTGCACGCTCCCGAACGAAAAAAAGAAAAAAAACGTGCAGGCGCCGGGATCGAGCCGGTGCGCGGCGATACTCCGGAGCACATTGCGCGGGCCGAGGTGAAGCAGCGCCGGCGCCGGGATCGAACCAGCGACCGCGGCTCCCATTCGGCGTCGGAGCTTGCGCGCCCGTCGAAGCAGCGCACGGCCATGCTTCGGAGCGTGTTCCCCGGGCCCAGGTGTGGTGCGGTGCGGTGCGTTGCGGTGCCGCGCGGTGCCGTGCGGTGCGAAAAAACGAAAAAAAGCGACGACGGCGGGGCGCGAACCGGCGACCGCGGCTCCCAAGCGGCGACGGAGCTAGCTTAAAAGGCGCAGCTCCGAAACCGCGCACGACACGGCGAAAAAGGGCGACTCTCCAGAAATTCCGAACAGACACGCGGACGCCCCCCGCAGCCTAAGGTCTCCGTCCCGACGACGGAACGACTAAACGTCGTCCGTCTAACGTCGGGACTACGACGACGTAAAGTTGGGGTAAGGTCTCCGTCCCGACGACGGAACGACTAAACGTCGTCCATCTAACGTCGGGACTACGACTACAGACAGACGGCGCCCCCCGCAGCCTAAGGTCTCCGTCCCGACGACGGAACGACTAAACGTCGTCCGTCTAACGTCGGGACTACGACGACAGACAGACGGACGCCCCCCGCAGCCTAAGGTCTCCGTCCCGACGACGGAACGACTAAACGTCGTCCGTCTAACGTCGGGACTACGACGATGGCGTACTGTACGACTGCTACGGCTGAACCTGTGCACCGTGCCGTACGACAAAAGAACAGAAAAGAGGGGGGTCCTTGTGAAGCAGCTGGCCGCGTTTCCAAAGCACGTATGGTGTTTGATTGTAAGGTGCCCAAGTACGTTTGCGCGGAATAATTTTGCCCAGGCTGGATAGTAAAGCAGTGCAGTGGTATATTGGAATGTGAGAATAGCGTCGAAGCAGTTTAGTGGAAGGTGTTTACAAGTCGTTAAGCGGACTTCGAAATGTTCATGCAGACATGTCATTGCGTGCGCGTATATAACAACACCAGGTAGCGCAAGCAGAAGATCAAGAAGAGCACCAAAGCAACAGCGTGTGTACCGGACACGTCGCGTCGGTCCTTTGCTATGATGTAGGAACGAAGAATAAGGCCAAGGTTAAATATTCCTATCGCGCGTGGATGGCCAAGCCAGAACAGACAACATGATGGGTGCTGTCCCACACTACCAACTTGCCCCCGAGCAACTTGCTTCAGAGCACGCGAGGAGCGGACATAGACAAGAGGCATCGGGCTGTTGTTTCAGTCTCAACGCTAACGCAATAGACCACCCCAAGCCGTTCACACACAAGTTAATGTTGAACATGTATGCACCGAGAATGAAACCCTAAGTGCGACTTTTCCTAAATTCAACACTACCGCTCAATGTCCAGAAGCCTAGCGCCGAAATGGTCGACGTTATCGGTCAATATTTAGGAGTTGAGCTGATGTGTGGGCTAGGCAAGCGTGGCAGGGGCGTCATCGTCCTGGACTGTGACGGCGGTGGGCGTGTGGGCGCCGCCTGCGCGTTGTTGGGTCATGGCGTAGAAGGCCGGGCTGGCGGAAGGCGGCCCGTGCAGCACATTGTAGCCTCCCGGCCCCCGGGCCTTGAACTGCGCGATGTAGAAGGCTTCCATCTTGTGGGCCAGAGCAGGATTGGCGGTGGACATGAGGCGTGTGAGGGTGAAGTGATTTCGGAAGGGTTGGTAGCGGCGGGCGTCGTCCTTCATCCGGCTGGGTGGGTTACGGGCATGAGCTTGGAAGCGGCGTTCAGGGTCCCGTGACTGACCGACGTATACCCTGCCGGTCGGTGCGCACGAGATTGTATATAGTCACGTACGGGCGGGGGCACTGGCATGTGGGTCGGCTGGGCTGGTTGCAGGTCGCTTGGCTGGCGTGGTGGTGGCCAGGAGTGATCCCGACGCTCGCGCCTTCTGTGCAGCTTCCAGCACCGTGCGCGCAAAGCCTTGGTCCGCGTTTAGGACAGTGGCGGCGTCCATGCTGTAATCGTATGTTAGCTCTATTGCTGTGTCCGCACGGAGGCTTCCGGCAGCTGCGATCCACAGCTGCATGACCTCCGCGTGTGTGGCCACCGCTCTTTCGGGCATGTCGCCCTCGTGAATCTCGGCCGTGATATTGTACAAGAACGCTACACGGGCATAGAGGGCGGCCGGTGGATGGTTAGTTGGCGGGATGGCGGGCGGAAGTGAAGGCATGCGGGGGCGGGGGTTACAGGAACGGACCATGTGGCCGGGCAGTTGTGTAGCGGGCACAAGGGACGGCAGCTGGCACAAGCGAGCAAAGGGCACCAAGGAAGGACGTCTTACTGCTGGCAGGCTTGCCGCCGTGCTGCGCTGTGAACTCGTCCTTGTACTTTCGGCCCTCGGCCAGGAGCACATTGAACTGTGTGTTGGTGTGGCGGGCGCGCAGGACGTCTTCGTCGTGACATCCCATGCTTCCCAAGAGCAGCTGCTGCCTGACGGTTCGAGGGGCAGCAGCAGGGCGTGTCAAGATGGTAATTGCATGGGACAGCCAGTGGTAGCGTGCACGCACAGCAGGGACGGCATGCGATCTGTTGGGTAGGGTCCGGCGTGGCAAGGCGCCTGCTAGTACCGGAAGATGAGGCGCTTACTTGAAGGAGAGGGGCCGTTTGGGCACCCCGGCTGGAGAGGAACGATCGCGGCCTCCGCCGGTTGGGGAGGCCGCTGCCAGCTGCGCCCACAGGTCAGCTATGTCGACGGGCGGCTTGGCTTGGGCGCCGGCTGAAGAGGTGGACGGCTGGCTTGTTGAAGGCGTGCCATAAGCGCCCAAGTTGACGGGCGCAAGGGTCTGCGGTGACGCTTGTGACTGGCGTGCCATTTTCGGAGCCATCTTGTTGGGGTTCGCAACAGTAGAAAATGTGTCCGCGAAGTGACAGGCTGGCTGGTTGGCATCCGCAAGATGGACTTTGGTCTTTGAGCCAAAAAAAGGAAGCACAAGAATGTGTGAAAAATAAGGCGACACAGGCTGGCATTTATACTTGTTGCGGCATCATACAAACGGGATGCGTCAAAGAGGCGGGCTGAATCTGAAGGGTGTCGAAGGTATGTCGGTTCGTCTTCGCATGGCGAGCATGGGCGACGGCTGTCACGCCAACGGGTGGGGCGCTGGGACAAGTTGTATGCTGAAATGAATGAAGCGCCATGGACATGGCGTGTTGTCATGCCCAAATGTGAAAGTGGTGCGTTGCGCTGCTACGAGCAGAGCAAAAAACCGTTGCAGGGCAGGAGCGACGTGAAAGTCGTCGGCGTGTATATGGTTGTGAGCGCGAGTTCGGACTGGATTGGTATGTAATGCATGAAATGAAAAAAATTGCGTTAGGTGGTGAGCCGTCCGGACTGTGGACATGGTGCTGACGGCGTTGTGCAAATGTAAGTACGTGTTTAATTGTTGTGCAACGGGACTATTTAGGAAGCGCGAGAGTTACTCGCGTCCGAAGGAAGAGCCCCGGCTGGCCAGCGCGGTCTGGGCACACAAACACTCCGCGCAATGTTAGCGATGTAGCGCAGAACCTGGTTAATCGCATAGAAGCACACGCGGACTTGAACGATGTCGCGTCGGCATGTAGCTCGGTGCATGCGAAAGAAAGCAAAGCGCAATCCGGCTGTGTGCCGGCTGGCAAACGCGAACCGTTCTAAATTATGCCAGCGAGACAACATCCACGCATCCTGCATTCAGCTAGCAACTGTGGCAACAGCGAGCGAAGGGCCGAGGAATTGCAATGCGGGAGGTACTGTGCAGGAATTGATGTATACTCCAACCTTAAGGCCAGATGGTGCGCCGGGCAAAGTGGCGGAAGGGACATCGCGGTAGCCGGAACAGCCTGCGTTGCTGTCGCCGCACAGGCATCGTTGGCGCACTCGTCCAGCGATGCGAGGCCCGAAACGGCACAGGCAAACGGTTGGAGCGCTGGGAAAGAGGTATGCGAAACTGAATAAAGCGCCATGGGCATGGCAGGTGGACTTGCCTAAATGTGAAAGCGGCGTGTTGCGTTGCGCCGAGCACAGCAAATACAGTTGCTTCTTGTTGGGAACGCAGGTTCGGACGCGATTGGTGTGTAATGCTTGAACTGAAGTAAAGTGTGTGAGGTGGTGAGCAGATGGACTGGGGACATGGTGCTGTCGGTGTTGTGCCACTGTAAGGACGTGTTGAATTGTAGTGCAACGGGCCTATTCATGAAGCGCGAGAGTTACTCGCGGCGGAATGAAGAGCCCCGGCTGGCCAGCACGGTCTGGGCAATCGAACGCTTCGCGCAATGTTAGCGATATTCGCAGAACCTGGTTATTCGCATAGAAGCACACGCGGACGTGAACGATGCCGCGCCGGCGTATAGGTGTGGTGCATGCGAAACAACGCTAAGCGCAATATTGCTGTGCGCCGGCTGGCAAAGGTGAACCGTTCCAAATTCTGCCAGCGAGGCGGCATCCGCCGGCAACTGTCGGCCCCGGCCAGCAACCGCGGCCGCAGCGAGCAGAGGGCCGAATAGTTGCAATGCGGGAATTGCAGGGCAGGAGTTCATGAACATTGTAACCTGAAGGCCAAATGGTACGTCGGGCGAAATGGCTTAAGGGCGGTCGCGAAAACGGAGTGGCCCGCGTTGCTGTGGCGTTGCTGTCGGTGGATTCGTACAGCAACGCGAGGCCCGAAATAGTGCAGGACGTAGTGCGGGGTGTATATAAACCCGAGGAGCGGTATGACAGAAGAGTATACGTGTCCCTTAAAAAAAACAAAGCCAGCGGTACTTTCATAACCTTGCGTGGACGAATACCGGCACTTGAAAGAATGGGAGTAAGTAACGTTTGCGGTTTCCAGTGTGCAATATACCGTTCGCGAACTGGAATGTTGGAGACGCTCGCATTGGAAGATGTGAGCGAGCCCTTCAAAATGCTGCAGGCGTTGGCGAACGCAGATTTGGAGCGCCTGGTGCAGCTGGCGTCGGTAATCGACAATTGCACGATGCCGCTGGCCGTGTTCAGCCATGTAGTATCAGCGGCGTGCCCAGAACAGGCAGAGACCGTGGAGTTCATTAGTGAGGTGCATGCCGAGGATGGGCAGCAGGCGAGGTCTGCCATGAGGGACGTGGCCGCGGCGGCCATGTTTGACATCATTCGGCGGCATGATCATTCTGGCTGGGCCCTGGCATTTCCGCTCCGGGATTGTGTGGTGTTGCCCAGCGCGCGCGCCAATGAAATGATGCACTGCACATCGGCGTCATACGGGTGCAGGAAGCATGTGCCGTGCGGTGTCACGGCGATGGATTTTATGGGCAGTAGCGCTTTGGGTGTTGTGGTGCAGGCATTGGCCAGCACGCGTGCCTGGGCTGCGGAGCAGGGACTGCTTCGAAGGGCAGAGCATGGATCGCCCACTGGGGATGGGCTGGTGCTGGCGGGCGGCTGCGTTCACAACGCGCTGCAGCCGGCGGCTCAGCGACTGTCGGTGGTGCAGGCCGACGCAGACGTCTTCGTGGTGGGTGCTGTCAGTGCCGCAGCTGGCGCGCGCATGGCCGCACACTTTTTGGAGGGCCTGGCGCATCGTGTGGAAGTGGTGCAAGGCAGCATGCTGGTGACGGAGTGCTCCGTCGGCGCGCTGTACATGATACCACCAGGTGTGGTTGCGCAACACCCAAGCAGCTCCCGGGCTGGCAAAAGCCTGGGGTCAAGCCGCTGTATGTCATGTGCTAGTCTGACAGAGTCTGTCAAAGCGTGAGGATGAAGTTATACCTGCAGAGTGTTTTAAAAACCGACATGTGTTGCACCCATCATGCTGTAATGTGCAGGTTTCGCTGACACGGGACGTGGCCTTCGGGTGCAGGTGTGCCTGCGGCCATACTTTTCAACATTCCACGTGTTGAACAGCTTCGACTTGTGCGCTTGCAAAGTGGCGGCGCTGCCGTCGGGGGCAATCGTGGCCCATCCACGGTAAGTGCGGTGCGGGGGCAATGGTTGGCCGGGCAGACAAGGGGCATGTGTGGAAAAGGGTAAATGACGTGTTTGCTGTAGGCTGAGTAGGCACCTGTGGCACGTCCTGAACATGTGCTGAGACCGTGGCTGATGTGCCGTTCATAATGGCAGGTTTGTGTACGGCTGCGCACGTGGGCGTGTGCAGATGGTGCTGCCGTGCCATCGTCAAGCGACAACCAGTGCGCGGATTGCGAAGTACTGGACGCACGGGTGGCTGTGCGAGGGTTATGACAACACCGAGGAGGACCTACAGCACCAGCATGCTGGGGCAATGGACTTGAGCATGGGTGGCAATGTCGTGGTCGTTCGTCCCACGGCGTGTTCGACATCGGACCTGCTTCAGGTCGCTCTGCCGTTGATGTCGCTGTGGGAGGCAGCTTCCGATGCGGAATGGCGTCGTGGCAACGTGGCCATGAACGTAATGCATGCCATGACGGGAGCGATGATGCAGCTGCCGCATGTCAAATGGGCGCACATGAAGTTCAGGTGCATAGCATGAATGGAGGCCGGCCGGTTTTTGGGAGTTTTGCCGAGCACAGAAGGACGGCAGACAGTTGCTGGGAGGTAATGAGATGGAGACTACGTGTCATTTCGCTGCACTGTCCATGCCGGAATGCGTTGTTGGGCATGTGTGTGGCGACAATCGAAACATGCCGATGTGTTCGGGGAAGGAGAGCGCTGAGGAATATGTTAGCGGCGCGGCAGCCGGGTGCCATGTAGTTGCCAGTTAGGTCTTATTTTAGTGTTTAGGGACAATTAGTAGGCACTAGCGTTTTGGTGTGGCCAGCACGGACGTTGAGCGGGTGCATCGTCTTGTGCGTGCATCGGTCTGTGCATGCATTTGCATGTGTGTTTGATGCTCGCGCACGGTGAATCCGTAAGCAGACCAGAGCTAGTTTGAGCGTGCAATGCATGAAGCAGTCGCGTGTCGGCAACGTGCTCGATGCGACGGCCGGCCTGTTGCAAGTTGCAGGTTCATGGATGTTGACACAACACCGAATAACAAGAAGTAATGGATGAAATTTTATGGCATGAACTGGTGTAATGTTAGTGATTTGTGGACGCTGGTCGGCGTGGTACGGCGCCAAACATGAAGATTTGATCTGTGGGCGTAGCTGGCAACGGCTCATAATAGGGGCGCGTCATATTGAAAGGGACGATGATGCGAAGGCATTGCAAGCATTTGACAGACCTGTAAGCGTTCGTGTTGTGCAAGGCAACGACTGATTGTTTGCCGATCATAAAAGCTTGCATCGTCAACCACACCAGCTTTTGCCCATTGGCGGCAGATTAGCAGGGATTTGCAAAAACAGCAGCATCTCTTCACTGTCATCATACTTGCAGGAAGCCAGCGGCGAAGTCGCGCAGCAGCGCGCCAAAGTGGTGATGGCCCGGCGTTGGGCGAGCGCGGCACTGACAGAGCTGCGGCCTCAGTTCGATGCCAATGAGGGATTTGAAGCTCCGCTTCCAGCCGGATGTTCTGCCGCAGGCTGCAACTCGCTAGGCGACCAAGTGCGGCAGGACTTATTTCCGCACTTAAGGGCCACTGCCGCCTCGGCCCGGGGCTCCCTGGTGTTTGTCTGCGACTGTCATGACGGACCGTCGTCAGGCGGCCAAGCTTGCACAGGGCGGCTGGTGTTGGATTGGCAGGGGTGCAAGGTTGTTGCAGCAGCACATTCGTGCAGCTGTGCAGCAAAGACCAGGTCAGGAACTGCATGTCCGTTTGGAGGGTGCTCGCATTGTGCTGCTGCAGTAAATGGCCCGTTCCGTTCTAGAGAAATAATGTTGTGTTTATCTGTGCAGGCCCAACACCCAAGTGGCTGCCGGTGTGCAAGTGGAGCGGCCGCTGGGGTGCGCCTCTGCAGTGTCGGTGCCAGATGGGATCCTGTGGTCTGACCAGACGAACCCGTCACTGCCGGCCAGCATGGCGGAGGTGCAGTCCTTGAGAACGCGCTGCCGGCTGCTGAAGAAGCTGCAGGTGAATCTGGATGCTGCTAAAACACGGGTGATGGTCACACCGGTGCTGGGCCGAGTGCCAGTTAAGCAGGGCGACCTGGCAGCTGTGCAAGTCCGGCTGCACGACATCACAGGGCCCACTCCGGTGGTGGTGTGCGGCACGGCCCCTACACTCAAGCGGACTGCGGAGGTGGCGTTGGGCAAGGTGCAAGCGGGGGTTGCCAAGCCTGCTTTGAGCGGGCAGCAAGTGACCTTGCTGTTTGCTAAAGTGGAGGTGCGTGTAGGTTGGCAAGAAGGACCTGTTTAGGGTGCGCCCCCTGCTTGGACACGACCTAACCAGCACATGTGTGCAGGTGGACGACCCCACCATTGTGGATGAGGTTCGTAGCAAGATCACTACGCTGGATGTAGGCCAGCTGTGGAGCAAGCTGTCACGGCATAAAGCAGCAGGCAGTGCTATGCACAAGGTGGACATGGCGGGCCATGCATACATCGCTACTGACAGCACCAACATCGCTGGATGGTATGTCCAGCAGGGAGATTACGTCGAGGATGCAGTAGGCCTGGGGAATAATGCACGGAGGGTGCGGTAGAATCACAACCTTTGGTGATGCAAGTGGTCGGGCATTTTCAGTAATGGGCGGGGCAGCAAGGCGTGCAGTGGGAATATGCTGGCGTGTACTGTGATGGGCGAGCAGCCTTGTGCTGCAGTGCAACTTATCTGTGCATGCTGGGTGACCAGGTGTGTGGTGTGCAGTGAGGGAGCCGGCGCATCAAAAAGGTGTCCAATCCTCCATGTCTGCATTTCGGCACCCTGAATTGGAAGACTGGCGTTGTGTAACAGCCGTCTCTTACCTTAGCTGTTTTAGCGGAAGTAGAGGGTCTCGTCCACGATTGGCGACCCAGCGTTAGGCGTGAGAAGAGACAAGGGAAGTCGGGATTCGAAGACATACGTCGAGAACGGTGACAGCAAGGTCTTGAACCCTGAACACTAGTATAGTGATACGTTAAGTGTCTGGCCGAAGCACTTCACCTGGGTGGCTTAAATGCGGCCCACCTGCCGCCATCTCCATTCCTGGAGTCTTGGTGTCGTACGCTAGGTTGTGATAGCGTACCAGAAAGTGAGTTCGTACAGTTAACGAGTATGGTTCGTAAATACGGGACCGTACCGTTACTGTGATTAAGCTTTAATAGCTTAAAGATATTCTAAGGTAAATGTAGCTTGCTACATCCCTCCCCCTCAGAAGCGAACCGTCCCGGGAGCGTCACCTTTTCTTGCGAGCAGGTGCTTTCCGTTTCGGTTGTTCTGGGGTGCTGTTCCGGGGTGCTACCGAAGGAGGGGTGGTCAGGACCACTTTCCTTTTTGGTGTAGATTGCCCGGACTTTGCCGCCAACCGTCGTTCATAGTCATCAATAGCTTCGGCCAAGGGAACGGACTGACGCAGGGAATCTTCCGGTTCATAGGTGTTATGACTGGAGTCATAGCCTTCCCATTTAACCAGATATTCTCGACGTGTTTTGTCGGTTCCACCTCGGATTTTCACATCACGATGGTCAAGTAGTGCCTCAACCATGTAATATGGCTCTTCGTCAATTATGAACGGGGGCGGCGGTTGTCGTGTTCCATCGTCCTTGAATGGTTTGAGCAAGGATACGTGGAAGACCGGATGGAGTCGGGAAGTCGCGGGTAATCCCAATTTTACCGCGTTCTCTCCCACTCGGGCGACAACCTTATATGGCCCAATAAACTTAGGCAATAATTTCTTTGCTCCAGGAGATTTCAACTGGATGTTGCGGGTGCTGAGCAGCACGGAGTTCCCAACCTCAAAACGCACCGGGGATCCTCAGAGTCGACCG